TTTATTTTATTTTATTTTATTTTATTTTATTTTATTTTATTTTATTTTATTTTATTTTATTTTATTTTATTTTATTTAATTTTATTTTATTTTGGTTTGTTTTGTTTTATTTTATTTTATTAGTGGGTATAAAGGTTTCCCATCGTTAACAAAAATAATGTGTTGATACCAAACATGAAATGATGATGGCAAAGGTTTTGAATGACTTAATTACTGATCTTAAAATTAGTGATATACATATAAAATAAGTGATATACATATAAAATATATCAATTCGTATTCACTTCATGTTTTATATTTCAATTATTTCGTTTGATAATGATAATAATATGTAGTAAGAGCATTGGTAATATCATGAGAACAAATCCAATGAAAAGGATCTGATCTCTAATTTCTGATTTGGAATATCTTCAAAATTATATGATGAATTAATTACCAAGAATTAAGCGCAATTTTTGCCATGCAAAACTTTTATGTAAAAAAAAAAATAAGTAATACGATAATGAAAAAAATAAAAATTTATTTTATCTTGAATTGAAAACTTACTTCATTCCGATACAATTTCTTGACCTTGATAAATAAAATATTGTTAATATTATTTATAAACTAATCTTTATTTTTATTTTTTTTTTAAAAAAAAAAAATAGATTAATGAATAAATATCGGCAGAAAATGAAAGCATCCTTTAGTAATTTTCAGGTTCCAACCATCTTTCAGGTTTTTACTCTTCTACTAAGATTAATTGAAGTTAATTTTTTTTTGACGAAAATAAAGAATATAATTATCCGTAAACAATATTATAATGAAATAATAAAATTGGAAATGTTTAGCAACTCCTTTAGGCACAAATTATCCACAAATTGTCATATCTTTAATGGCTATTTTTTGATGGTCTTACGAAATAAATATAAAAAAAAGTTGGTCATGATATTAATTTTATGACATAATTATATTATATTATAAAAAATAATTAGTTTTCATCGTTGTTATTTCTTTAAATAAAACTTCAGTAAGAGCATTAAGACTAGGAAACGGGAACCGTTGTAGTATTTCAAACATTTAACACGTGACAGTAGTGATTTATTTATTTATTATTATAATGCGTAAACCATAATGTTCTTCGGACAATAACAGATAAAGTATTTTTTTTTTAATATATCATGTGTTGGAAGATCATCTAGTCCTAGATCAACAAAGCTTTTTGATGACTTTTTGTGTTTTTTTTTCGTGATCCTGTAAATCTATATTTTCAGTAATAAATAAAATCGTTAATGCTAATAATTTTTGAAATGAAGTGACTAACGAGAATTCAAGACATTAAGCTTGAATTTTAATATCATTCATTGCATTTTATTATATATTGTTAATAGCAGTAGAATTAATTTTGAATATATATGTGTCAAAGGCTCTGATCTCGTTTTAAAATGGTTTTAGAATCGGTAAAAGATGAACTTAATTTAACATCAGAATGGTAAATAGTTAATATGAAATGAAATTATTTTCAAAAAAAAAAAAATGAAAAAGAAAAAGAAAATACAAACAAGAAGCATGCGTCTCATTTCGAAAATGTTAAAAATATTAATTGAACTATTATATTCTGAACCAAAGACCTTGAAAAATAATAAATTAATAAAATAGACAATAAAATAATAGAATGATAAAAGGTGATATCACTAAAGAAAAAATTTTGAAAATTAACGAAACTTACAAAAATTGTACATCGAAACAAATCTTCTATACTAATAACAATTCCTTGTTCTATCACATCACATCTTCGTCAATCTTTGTGATTAGATCTTTAACACAATTTTGCATGGAACTTAAATATTTTGTTGAAAAAGTAAACGACGCTATGATAAATATGGAAATGTGACAAAACAAATTCAATTCTCGAATTTTATAATGTAAATAACCAATACAATTATATTAATGTTAATCTCGTCTCGTAATCCATAATAATAAAGACTTTAACTGTCCTGTTGTAAGATCACTAAAATAAACAAAAAAAATAAATTTTATATTTTTATCAAAAATATATTAAAATATAAATAAATATAAAAACAGATTAAATGATTACGATCTACTTTAAAAAAATAGATAACAAACTATATAATCGAAAAATTCAGAGATGCAAATTATTTTCATCACTATAATTCCTATTCTGTTACTTGCACTTTCTTGCTCCCTTCTTATTCTGTTACTCTTATCTTGTTTGTGCTTTTTCTATTTGGGACGGTTGTAATCTTATTACGCTTTACCTGATATGGAATTAGACTATGATCAATGAAAACATTTATACTATAGACCTAATATAGAATGTCTTTTTTATGTAGATTAAAGCCTTAGAGGAAGCGATTTCTATTGAACGCTCCATATCTTTGTCTCTCGAAGCTCCTGATTGTTTTAAAATTAGGGAGTTAGAGAAAGATTGGGCCGAACTTACAAAAGACGGGAGGTTAGATTTACTATTGCCGTTTTTAAATGTTATTAATATGTATTAAAGCCTTTTCATATATTATGGATTTCCGCCAAGAGACTTGGTATAGAACCCACATCGATGTATCGAGGAGTAAGTTTTATTTTTTTTTCTTATTGAAAAGATACAATTAATCACATGCCTCCAAGCTAATTGCGTTGTAAGTATTTTTTAGTAGAAGGAATTACTCCCTTAGAACACCTTGCCGAGAGAGAGAGAAAGAACATTTGAAACGTGTACAAAAAGAACTGGACACAGAAAACGAAGACACTGACCAAGAAGAACAGTAATGCCCCTCGTCAACGGATCACACTGAATCGAGATGCTCTCTCCAATATGGAAGGCTTAAGTATTACAAAGAAAGGTATTATGGTTCAAGCAATATTGGGCGTTGTTAATGCGGCATCAGATCAAATATTATAACGTAACTTTCCCCAAACCCAATTCCCATAAGATCAAGAACAATATATATGAATGCAAACTGATCTCAATATGTAGGTGTAAGATTTATTTGCATAATAAAACTAAAACTGTAAGTGTCTTTACTTCTTAATTTACCCTTAATTGTATTAATTAGAACTCGCTTTGTTAAAATTAAATTTATATTAAATAAATTACTACTATGCTTCTATCATCTGTTGTCTGTTATATTTGACTATTATTGTGCATCATTTTTTTCTTTGATGAGCCGTCTTAGATAAACTTTTACTTGGACGCGAGCAAATCGATTTCGCTCATGTTTAAAGACATACTATATCAAAAAGTATATCGACTTACCTTGTCTCTAGTTGGCCCTAACTCGACCCTAGTTGAAATTTAATTGGGGACACTACTAGGGTCGGCTTTTTGGCTTTCTAAACCTGTTTGATTTCTTTTTTCTATTCTCGACCTTAGTGTCCCTAGTGTCCCTAGTGTCCTTAAGAAAAATAAGAAAAAATCGCTAACTCATGATATCCATTATATATAGTGGATAATATAAATAACACGCATATATAGATAAAGAAAAATAAAAAATAAGAACTCGAGGTTTTACTAGGACAACTAGGGTCACTTGGGACAACTACCCGAGAAAAAGTTCTAAAAATCCAAAAAAATACTAAATTAATGGCCTTACTTCTGTTCCCAGATATTTTTTTTTTCCGAGGGTCAATTTTTTCTAAGGAAAACTTTTACTGCAGAGCAATGATTCTTTGGGTCAACATTTTAGTTTCATCAGACATATGTTCAAAAGATTCTACTATTGATCCATTTTGTGCCATTTTGGATAGCTTATTCCGATGATAAAATGCTTTAGTATGATATTTCCCAGTATGTAAATTTCACAATCCATATGCAGAAACTCTACCGAATTGTTCACAAGGAATACGTTGATGTCTTTTCCAATGTAAAGCACATCCTTCTTGCCAATAACAAGGCCGACCACAGATCCTTCCCTCGTTAGAAAGATACTGACAAAGATAAGTTCCTGCCATTGATTATTATTTTATTAAAACTTACTTGATCTGGTAGTAATATTGTCTTAGGTAAAGTTATTCAATAATTATTTTCGATTTGAATTTTTTTCCCAGGGTAATATATTGTCACCACTGTGCAAAGTATTTCGAACAATTTCTTAAATCAGTCTCAAAGTTTGCATTACACAAACATAATAATATGCTCTATCTGCCAGTAGGTCACAGCTAATACAATTGATTTAACTGGCCTATCTCAAAACAGATAATAAATATATAATAGATAATAATAATAATCAAATAATTAATCAATTAATCATGAAGGCACAGTGAGCAAGGTGGAGTAAAAGTAGTTAACACAGTATCAAACAATATTTAATAATATTCCACAATATTATGGCACAAGATATAAGTTTATTAAAATATAAAATATAAAGTTTTAAAAGTAAAGTATAATTCAGTGACAGTAATATTATTATATGTTAGGATGTCTATTTTACTGTCCCTGAAATAAGTTTATTTTTCTATTTAATAATAATTAAAATATTTTGATATATTCTATAATATTAAGTAATAATTAATTAACTAATAATCATTAATGAATTCTTATCACCCTCCTTTTTTAAACTTACACCTAACACCAGTCGTATTTATACTTTCTTTTTTGTTTACACTTTATCCTTCTCATCTTTGTACTTCATCCTTTATCCTGGTACAGTCATTCTTCATCCTCGTATGGTTATCTCACGTAAGATAACAATTACCTGAATGTTCATCTAGTGATACAAATTATTATTCCCCGTGACATTTCACCTGATTACCAATTTGGATTACCACACTATTACTAATATTTCTATTTTCTAGAAAATTTCTACAATTCTATTAATAATTTTTTACTTATGACTAATAACATGATCACAAATCAATTATTGTTATTTAGATCTTTGTTTAAATGTCATGGGTGAGTTTTTCTTATTTAGAGTCATTTTTGTTATATATATATTATTTTATTTATTAATTTTCAAATACTAATATTCTTTTGATATTTATAACTTACATTAGATACAATAATTGAACATAATTCCTTGTCATTAATCATAACAATGCATAGTTGAAATAATTAGTTAATTTGAATTTACAAATGTCATCTCTCATTTTTTTATGGATTATTTTATTTTTATTATTGTATCCTCATATTTAATATTTCTACTTATTATTCTTTAGTTGAAGATAATTGATTTTTTTTATTTATCTCTCTCTTTTTTTTTTTTTTTTTTTTTTTTTTTTTTTAATTCCAACAGAGTTATATTTTATTAAACAATTTATTTTACAGTTGATAAAAATTAAACAAATTTATAAAAACTACAAATACATTTAATACAACTGACTATGCTAAATTAATATTACTGTCGTACCAATATGTGAACAAGGGTCTAAAGGATAACCAATATTCTTTAACTAAACTAACTTAAACTACTTAAATAATTTTCAGAATTTCTCGAGGATCTATAAGATCAACTCAATTCAATTATTTAATAGAGAATTTAAAGGAATATTACAAGGTGAGTTCTTTATTGTGTGGAATTTTAAAATATAAATTAACTTGTCCACTTAAAAAGATGTATATGCTAAAGAGTATTTATACAAGATTAACTCAGGCTTTATTAAGAATTACATGACAAATTAGCAAATTAAAGATTTAATGAGAATATTTAATACGATATAACTTTATTAATAAATATAATAATAATTATAAAAATAAAATATAATATAAAATTAGAAATTATAAAAGTAAAGGTAAATATTAAAGGAATAAATTATGTATTAACTAAGAGAAACAACTTTGTTCTGATCTTTTAAACTTTTGAAAACTATAGAACTTCTGAACTCCTTTTTCCAGGTTAGGAAAGACTCATATTTATATTCCTTTAATTTGTTGTGTGCAATAATCTACCAAATTAATGATTTACCAATTTTAGCAAGAGGTAATCAACCTGGTGATTCACCTGTTATATGCAACAGGTAATTTACCTAGGTGATTTACCTGGTAGTCAACTTGGTGAGCCACCTATTATATGATCTTCAATTTACATAAATTACAAATAAATAATAAATACATTAAAAAATAATATAATAAAAATAAATTAAATTAATATTCTACAACACAACGGCCTGACTCATTGTTGTCCTAGTGTCACCTAAAACAACTGATGATAATGCTCCACCCATCTCTTTTTGATCTATTTGAGCAAAAAGTTACTGGAAAGGAATACTAATCCATCGAGAAGCTATATTTTAGAGAACTGTACACTAACATTTGTACAGAAAAAATTTAAATAGAAAATTAATAGTATATAAATATCCATATCTACTAATATTAAAACTAATTTTTAGAGCAAGAAATTACATGAAACCCTATGCACCTTCCCAATTAGTTTTTGGATAATATCTGTCTTGTTTCCAGACTGTATATGGTCCAAATGTCTACTTATACTATGGACTCTAGTTCCTAACCCTTTTACAGTATTAGCTAGATCAGCTAAACCCTTAGACATATTGTCTAATGTTTTTAATACATTTAGATGATTTGTTTCTTCTCTTGTTTCTATATCTTTTCCTTTTCTATCTTTATTATTATTTTCTTTCAAGACTTAATTATGTTCATCAAGATGATTTTCAATGGCAGAAAGTCTGTTTGCTATATCTATCAAAACTTTAGCTACTTCTTTCATTCTCCCACGCAACTCTTCAATTTGTGCAGTATACATTTTCATTGTTTCTATTACATTTTGATTAAATTCATCAAATTCTTCATGATTTTTTTCAATTTTATTCTTATTAATATTCTTTTCAACATTATTAACTTTTTTCTTAACTATATCTGTGTAAGTATTTTGGTTTGAGGTAGTTTTTATTAAATTGGAATAATAATTTGATTTATATTTTTTATACAAATTACCAAATTGTTTGATTTTTCTTTCTTATTAAAAACTAACTGTTTATGATATTTATTTACATTACATTCTTTTGCTTTATATAAATCTGAACTACAAATGAAACAAAGAGGTATTATCATAAGAACTATTCTAATTGTGATTTCCTCCATTAATTTCATTATACTGTGCTGGTGTTTCTACATTTCTTCTTCTGAATCAAATAAAATAATAGTATAATTTTTTTTTTATATCCTTCTCTAATTCTTGGAATATAAATTGTATGACCTTTGATGTCTTTAACATTTGTTTGATATCCAATGTTGTCATTTCTCTAGGTAACTGGGTTAACTTTGCTGCCCATTTATCTCTATTATTTAATTCTTTGTAACTGGTATCACCTGATGTAATTCTTAAACAATTCATTCCAATCCAAATTGACCATTCTGTTGATAATTTCCTGCGACTTCCACATTTTCAAATTCCACATGACCTAATTACATGTCTTTTGTTGTTAAATGTAATTGTTTCACTTTCCCAAAATGATTAAGATGTAACATTAAATCATTTCTCTTT